GTGGAAATTAGAGGGAACAAGCACATTGCTATCCTCATCGTCATTTATCCACTCAACGTTTGTCAGATTAAAGTCACCAACAACTATCACAACGTCATCGGCATTTCGTAATTATTTTCGTACTCGGAACAGATGGAACGTTGAATTGTTGGGAATGAGAGAATTCCGAGTCATTTTACCAGATACGATTGAAAAATTCACGCGTCTTATGAATCTTGTGATTTTTTTGGAACATGTAAATTAAATCGCATGCAGAAATCTTAATAATGATTAATGACGTCAATCAAACTGTGAGCTCACAAAAATGATGTATCTAACCGTACTTCCTTGTTTGATGACCTCTTTTTGATATCATCACATAGCCGCAGTGACAAATTGAAGTATTTTCGGATTTCAATGAATTTGAAATCAGCTGAGAAAACAACGAAGAATAAAATGCCCTACATCCGTAAGGTGAACTTTTCTACACGATTAATTTCAGTTCTACACTTTCAAACAAAACAATTTTTCCACCAGCAACATGTGTGGATTTAATATCCGAATTTTTTGATGGGCCAGCGCAGCTGAAAGTATAAATATTGCACTCAACTTGACCAAAGATTCGACCGTTTGTGCACGCATGACGGAGATAGTTAAAGAATTACGAAATATGCAGAATTCAAATGATAAGTACAGTTAAATTGAATTGAAATTAATGAGCAAATTCATGCAAATCCAATAACACACTGAGTATTTTTACTATTTCGGCACATATCCCCTAATAAAGCTCTTCGATTTAACATTTACAGACCCAAATGAATGGCCAACACGAGAGGAAAGATCGGAAACCGATGCAGATTCGATATTCATACCAAACTGGACTTTACTTTCACCATCTTAACAACGAGCCAACAAAAAATTCATTCGCGAAATTCCAGCGACAAACAAACGTTCGGCCAGCACATTTGACTACGTATGACATTATCGATCAATCTAATGAACGTGTAGATCAAAGCTCAGTGATTGCAATCAATTCGACTGAAGCATCGACCACCTGCAGTTTTTCGGAATATTTCGTTATAGAATGAATTCGAAAGTCACTTGAAGGTTTATTTGCCGACTGAGCTTGCAGGACATAGTTGTTCGGAAACTTTTTCAAGTACTTTTTAAATCTCCAATCTCATTTTTTCGTGACGAAATTTCGATTTCAAGGCGAAAATGGCAAGAATTTGATCGTTTTTTTTTTCGAACATGTTACAGTATAGTAGGCTATGCAATTCGACAGCTTTGATATTTTCGATATAACTCTCTCCAAGTCTCCATAAAATTGAAAGGAAAAACGTATTTTGTAGCAGAAAAAACGAACAAAATACACGAACAACAAGTAAAAGTCTGATTTTCTAACTAACGACCATGTCGTGTAAGAAAAGTATTGGGATCGCCCCAGACTTTTTGACCCCATAAAAATCCGTTTTTCATTTCTATTTTCGAACTCCAAAAAAACGCGAAATCTAGCGTTATTTTAATGTAGTAGGGTGGTGGTACACTGTATGCTGTACGCAAAAAATACGGTAAAAAATTTGCTATGTTTGAAATTGTAGAAATATTTCATTTCGAATCGTGTAGAAAAGTTCACCTTACGGATGTAAGGCATTTTATTTCAATTTGATTCCCGTTTTCTGGTTCATTCCAGCTAGTAGCTGTAATTTAAAAAGCCAAAAATAAGAAGAAAGCAGTTCGTTTTGTGGTTTTTCTTTCGTACTTTTATTAAATTTCAATACGAGAATACAAAATCCTATTGACAATGGTTGAGTATTAATTTTATCATATCTGTTTATTTATTTTTCTTCACACCATTCGTCTTCCAGGCGAATCTTTTCCTCTTCTTCCGGGGTACGGTCGTTCCCAATGTCGAATTTCTCCTGGATTCCCTTGGGTGTTTTGCCTTTTATCATGTTTGCAACCGTTTTGCACGCAGCATTCATCAATCCTTTGGTGTCCAAGTAGTTGGCGGCCTCAATGATCTGGAACAAAGTGCTTTGGTCGACATTTAGAAAATCAGCGTCCCACGGTGAAATGTCGTCGGTGCCTTTTTCTTTCGTTTTATCATCGTCGGTTGGAATTGGATCGTCCTTGTGGTGGTTGGCCCATTGCAGAACGCGTTTTAAAATGTTGGAGTTTACTTTGGGCAACGGTACAACGCCTTCTTCGCCTTCATCGTCCAGCCCACAATCTTCCAACATGGTTTTGATGGTGCCTGAGCACTTGGCCACTTGAACATCGGTTTCAAAGTACTCTCCGTCTGATGATTTCAACTTAATAATGGCCATCTGGATGGACACAAAAACGAACACATTTTATTATTATTTTTTCAGAAAAAAAAGTTGAAGAAAGAAACGCTTTTTTCTCATCAATCCAAAATAACACGAAAAATTGTCATACTTACTTTTGAATATAGTTTCGTTTAGCGTGCACTGAAGAAAATAAATCTGTTTGAAATCAATTTGTTTGAACTCTTTCGGCTGGTAACTTGTTACTCTTACGAAGAAGACAGTCAGAATGATGAAATGTAGGAATGATCATGCTTCTTTTATCCTGTTTCACAAGCACCGATGATTCGGTTGGTATTGTCCGATGGACACAGAAGCTCACTAATTACCCTCATTAGAATCAACGCTATCCTTTACCGTGAACTACACCACTCATTGGTAATCGTAACTATGACATTGTTTGAAAATAATATAATCCTTTCCTTTCGGGTAACACCAATGGGTTTTTTCTATTCTAACGATACCGTGTTTGCTACACTTAGAGTGAAGAAAATCAAACCAAAATATTCTTAGGGCTTAAGCGATTGAAAGTGAGAGGCTGTTGGAATGAGAACGATGCTTTTTGCGTTCAATCTATGGATACGAAATAAAAATCAAGAAATCCGTTCAAGTGGAACATGGAAAAGAATTCCATAAAATTGAAGCCTAGCATGTTCCGTTTAAAGTATTTCACTTTGCGCTGTTTCTTTTTGATAGATTTGTTTGTGTTCAGTTTCATTTTGAACGAATCCTTCTGCATTGTTTCATTAAAATGGATCTAATCACATTGTTTCGTTTCTCGAATATTTTTTCGTGTGTTTCATTTGAATTGATTCCCGAGCTATTGCTGACGTCACTCGTATTTATCACATAATACAAATTAAGTGATAAGGAGCGCGAATTTCGATGTGGCGATAACACCAATGAGATTGGTCAGTGGTCACACAAAATACTGTATGAAAAAAAAATTGTAAACTTGTTTTTTTCAATTTTTGCCTGATGTAACAAATAATCGAAACCTATTGCTACAAATTGTTTATTATTTTAAATATGTAACAGTCTTGCACTCTTTTCCTGCCAAACCTCAATCAAAACCCACATTATATTCAGCCAGAGCTTGGCGGTGTTTAATAAAAATAAAATAAAAAAAATAAAATGGTCTGTACTTTTAGTTTGCTTATTTTGATTTAGTTATTTCAAATGAAAAATGTTTCAATTGTTTTTCGATTTACTAATTTTATTCCAATATTCCGTCTACAACAGGGGCTTGTACTGGGATTGGAGCTCACGCAGCAATACATTTGGCGAAAAAAGGCGGACGCATCGTTTTAGTTGGTCGTAATGAAGGGCGTTTGAATGACGTTAGTAGTGAAATAATAAAAGACAACGCACCGAAGCCGTTGATTATTGTAGCCGATGTGACAATGGATGCTGAACGCATAATTCAAGAGACAATCGATCATTTCGGTTCATTGGATGTTTTAGTAAATAATGCGGCTGAAATTACATGTGACACTGCCGACAATATTGAACTTGAGGACTTTGATCGCATTATGAATACGAATGTATGCAGCATTGTTCATCTAAGGAAGTTGGCAGTACCACATCTGGAAAAAACGAACGGAAACATTTCAAACGTTTCAAGTATTGCCGGTCTCCGTACAAAAGTGAATTCATTTGGACATTCTATTTCAAAGGCTGCCGTTAATCAGTTAACAAAAAACGCAGCATTGGATTTGGCTTCGAAAGGTATTCGTATGAATGCAATCAATCCAGGTGCCATCAATTCACGGCACAACAAACTGAAAACTATGTGAATAGTTACAAAAAACGTCATCCACTTCAGAGAATCGGTGAATGCGATGATACATCGGCCGTAATTGAATTCTTGATCGGCGACACGCTTCATTTATAACTGGCGTTCTCTTCCCTGTGGATGGTAGTGCTCTACTCATTGGAGAGTAATTTTTTTCATCTAATTTTCAAGAAGACATCAGAAAAAACTCTATCATAGCAGTTTATCCGTCTTTTTGGATATTGAATATATTCCAAATGTATGAAAATAAAATTCAAGCAAAACAGTTTTTCAAACATAATAAAATTAATCTAGAGACAGTTTGTAACCAGACTCTTTTACTCTTGTCATATACCGACACATATTTTTTTAATAATACGTATCTCATCGAATTAAACTAAGATTTGAGCAAATTATACATACAAATTGTAAAAAAATGTTTTCAACAATAAAGACAAAAATGAAAACATACAAAAATAAATGGTCTTACATTGGTGATGAACATAGTTTATTTTATTTTTATTTATTTATTTTATTTAACACCGCCAAGCTCTGGCTGAATGTAATGAGGTTTAAATAAGTAATCTACTGGCACTTAAATAACAATTTCCTCTTCAAATATTTGATTAAGAAAACGTACATGGTTAATATCCCATCTATATTTATTGATCTACATGTGAGAAATAATAGTCAATCCTGTCTAACCTGTTCACTCTGTCTGGTAACTAATTGAGATACGTCGTCGGCTGTATGTTTAGGCTGAAAAGGATTCAAAGGAAAATAAGTCCCATTTTATTACCCCTCACTTGCTTACAAATATTTTAAGTAAGTAGTACCATACGGTTGTTGCGTTCTTCAAGTCAGTCGAAATCAAAAACCGTAAGCAACAACACATTTTTTGCTCTAGGAATAAAGAAACATAAATTTAAGTTATAATTAAAAGGAACTTTGCAATTTGTTGAGTCAAAATGAGTGAAACCGTCTTGCCAAAGTTTATTCAAGTGAATCTGGAACGGATCGCCAAAGAAAATCACTTCGTTGATTATTCATTGGAAGTGAAACCAGGTTCGCAGCTTGGTGATGGATTTTTGAGTGAATTGTTCAGCATAACAATAGTGGAATCTGACAAAAAATTGGAGCTTGTATGCAAAATGGCGCCGTTAAGTATGAAACGTCAAGAAGATCTAATTTCGAATGTTGTTTTTGACCGTGAAGCTGCTTTTTATAGCGAAGTGATGCCAATTTTTGCAAAATTCCAAGACGAAAGGAATTTATCAAGAGTTGATCAATTCGCAGCATATCCAAAATTTTACGGAGCAACAGTTGACCCTGAAAATGGTCACTATGCAATTATTATGGAAGACCTTCGTCTGCAAGACTTCAAAATGTGGAACAAAGCAAAACCATCACCAATCGAAAATGTTTGGCTGGCAATGTGTGAAATAGGAAAATTTCATGGCATCTCGATTGCATTGAAGGATCAACAGCCAGAAGAATTTGCTAAATTTGAAAAATTCACTGACAAATTTTTCCGAAGTGAAACCGTTCGAGAAATGTACATAAAATCGTATGATCAAGCTATTGCATACGCAAAAAATGAAAATCATAAAAATGTTATGCGTGAAATAAGGCAGCATTTCTGGGAACTTTTGGACGATTGCCTCAACGAAAAGTCGGCCTCTTATTTCGGAGTCATTTGCCATGGTAATTATTCGTCTTTTTCGTTTGGTATTTATCGTTTTGAGCAATAAGGATAATAATCTTTTGTTATTTTAGGTGATCTTTGGAATAATAATACTCTGTACAAGTTTAACAATAGCGTAAGTTTAACCTTAGCTGTTGTATCGATGTTGAAATCCTTTCGTGAAATTACTAAATTATTTTCTTTACATAGGGTGTCGCTGAGGATATTCGTATTTTGGATTGACAAGCACTCGTATATGGCTCACCGGCAATAGATCTTCTTTTCAACATCTTCACTTCCACCGATAAGACGCTTCGAGACAAAGAATACGACAATTTATTGAAAATTTATTACGATTCACTATCGAACACCGTCAAATTGCTAGGGAGCAACCCAGATGATTTGTTCAAATTTCAAAATTTAACATCGGAAATGGAAAGATGTGGCAAATTTGTATTGTTGCAAGGGCCACTTCTGCTAGAAACTTCATTGGCGGAACCAGACGAAGTGGTAGTTAACTTGACTGAATCGTCCGGTAAAACACCTGAAGAAAGAAAACCATTAGCTTTTACTAGTGGCTTAAATGAGAGGGCACTTTCAGAATATGAGTCTCGATTGAATGACATGATTGCGGACGTTATTCGACTTGGATATTTCAATAAAGTTAATTGAATTCTTTTAGAATAATTTATTTTTATAATTGAAGGATCTATTAAGCACATTTGATTGATTGTTCAATGACATAAGTCCATCCATCTGGAAAAATCAATCGATGCAATAGCACCAAATAATTGAATCAATCAGCTTGATTAACTCTGAATTTACGCTATAAAATCTATATAAAATATCACACGGCCTATGATTATTTCTTTTTTTGTTTCAACTTTCGACCACTGTTTAGCACAGCAAATGCATTTTAACGCATGGTGCGTTCATGCGTTCATCTACATTCACTAGTGAATTCGCTGCTACGATATATGGAATCAAACGGAGGGTTGTTGCATTTGACTGATATACGCAAATGCATCGCCGAATTTCTGCAAAACTCTTCAGATATGGCGCTAAATGCATTGGAACTATGGTGTTCAGATTTTAGAAAATACTATATACTTTGAGGTGATAAACCTCAAGTTCATTTTACTAGAGACGCTTGAAAGTGAATCGTGAAATATCTGTTAACTATAGAAATTATGTTTTACTTTAATGCTGTCCAAACTATTGGTCGCTTGGCCACTTGTGGTCATGCGAATAAAATAATACATTCCCTTTGAATTTTCTTGATTTGCAACACAAAAACGGCAAAAAGAACAACATTGTGGCAATGACAATAAGTTTAGACCAAGAGCCCACCGTACAAACAACTTTTTTTCTTGTGCACTGCAGAAATTCATAAAATTAACATCTTCCCACAATACTCTAACACAAATGTACCACTTGTTTCAATGAAATTGGGCGGATCGCTTTATTCACGGCTTTATTCGGGCTACGCGAAAAAGTATACTTTTTTCGCACCAGTATCGCAGAAATTTGTATTAAATCTTCATTCGGATCTAACTAACTTAAAAATAAAATAAAAAGAATTACATTGGTAATCCCGAAATTTTCCGTACCGTTGGCCTGCGTTGTCCGTATGTACTTTTGGTTATTTTTTGTGAATTTTCTTGAAATAAAGGCAGTAAAAATATAATAACACTGTAGTAACGAAAAAATGTACGGTTCAACACATGAAAGTCAGATTTTAGTTACTGGCGAGCCCAGATAAACCTCATATTTCGTTTTGATAAGTTGGTGGATTCAGTGGAAAAAAAATGTTTTTCAAATTTTTTATCACTGATGTTAGAAAAATGGTCGAAAAAAGTTATTTTTTCTCGAAAATAATGGGAGTCTTCTCTGTCAAAAACTTTGAAAAATGATTTTATGAGGTACCTCTCGAACAAAAAATGATAATTTGCCATGAAAAACGTAACTTTCGTTCGGGAGGTACCCTAAATATGCATTTTTCAAAGTTTTTGACAGAGAAGACTCCCATTATTTTCGAGAAAAAATAATTTTCCGCCAAGACACTTACCATGAAAAGTGTATATTTGAGGATTTTTCGAAGAAAAGTCGATTTTTTGAGAGTTGAAGTCGAATCAGTCGATTATAAGGCTAGAAATATGTGAAAACATCACTCGACTTGGTCATGTCGGTAATCAAAATGTTCATGGGGGATCATACTAGAAGTCCAAAGGTGTCAAAGGTAGAAATCGTTGGCTCTATAGTGTGATTTAGCCATGGAACCGAAGCTCATAAGCGTCATTCGCTCATTTGTTTTGAAACAATCGTATATTTCGAAACTAAAACCATAAAAAATGTATAAAATGATACTAGAAATTAATTCTACGTCAAAAATAGTGTGGATATAGACCCATTGCAGGTCATTGTACGAGGGTTTTCTATGCCATAAATGTGATTTTTTGTCAATCTTTCAACCGATCGATAGTTTTATGAAGAAATGTCGATTTTAGAGCAAATTTGTAGGAAAACCGGTATTTAAGTGTTCCGAGACCCATATTTTTTTTGACGAAAAAAAGGTAGTTGTCGAAGACAAAAACATCGTAAGTGGCCATTTTCGACCATTTTTCTAACATCAGTGATAAAAAATTTGAAAAACATTTTTTTTCCACTGAATCCACCAACTTATCAAAACGAAATATGAGGTTTATCTGGGCTCGCCAGCAACTAAAATCTGACTTTCATGTGTTGAACCGTACATTTCAAAAGTGTAAAATGTTACTACAGTGTAATAAAAATAAGGTGAAAAATCGGTCACTTTAACTAAAACTTCGACAATTTTGTAGGGGAGGTACACGCAAACCGATTCTTATTGGCTTTAAACTTTCTGAGGTTTCATTTTTTGGAGAAAAAATAAGATCCTGAAAGTTTCATCTTGATCGCATTTGCAGAAGTTTGGTTTTTGGCCCTTAATTTTTTCCAAGAAAATTTCGACAAAAATTGAGGACAAAAAATCAAACTTCCGCAAATGCGATCAACATAAAACTTCAGAATCTTATTTTTTGTCCAAAAAATAAAACCTCGGAAAGTTTGAAGCCAATCGGAATCGATTAACGGGTACCTCCCATACAAAATTGTCCAAAAATCGGTAATTTTAGTCAAAATTTCCAAAAATTTGTATGGGAGGTACCCGAAAATCGATTCCGATTGGTTTCAAACTTTTAGAATCTTATTTTTCTCCCAAAAAATGAAACCTCAGAAAGTTTGAAGCCAATCGGAGTCGATTTACAGGTACCTCCCATACAAAATCTCAATTATTTTTTGAGTTATCGTGTTAACAAACA